GCGTGCATAAACAGTTGTTCTGTCCTGTATGTAAACATGATAGCTCGAAAAGTTTAGAATTAATTATGTACAGAGGGTGTACACAGGGGGCAAGTCAACAATCCATTAAAATCCATTAAAAAAATTAAAGTTGACGAGAAAAAAAAAACAAAAAACAACCCTTACAACCTTATAATTTTAACTAAACAATAATTCTTCTGAGGATGGTGTGTAATATCAACACAGATCAGGTATAACATCGAGACCACTAAAAAGGAGACGTGAATAACACTCATTATCTTTTCATCATGGCACCTGTCAGTAGAGGGGATCTATTAAAGAACAAGTTGATGTGTTGGATGCAGGAAAAATGTGCAAGCGCAAGTATTTGAGTGAGTTTGAAAAGGTCCAGATTGTGATGAGAGGACTGGGTGAGAGCATCTCCTATAGTGCAGCTGTTTTGGGGTGTTCTTGATTTTCAGTCACGAAAGGGTCACGTACATGTGCTACCTATCTAAGCAGTGTTGCGGACAATACAAACCCTTCATGATTCCCTGACGGCTGTGGCCTCTTTCAGCAGGATAACCTGCCCTTGCCACAAAGAAAAAATAGTTCAGGAATGGTTTGAGGAACACAACAACGAGGCTGCCTCCTAGACGTCAATCCAGTTGAACATCATTGGGATGTGCTGGACAAACAAGTCCAATCCATGGAAGCCACACCTCACAACTTAGAGGACTTAAAGGATCTTGGTGCAAAGCACACCTTCAGGGGTGTAGTGGAGTACATGTCTTGACAGCTCAGGGCTGTTTTGGTAGCAAAACGGAGATCAACACAATATTAGGCAGGCGGCCATAATGTTACACCCAATCAGTGTATGTTTGTATTAGGGGGGCAACAATACTCGTATCGATATTGAACCGTTCGATACAGTGCTTTCGGTTCGGTATGCATATATATCAAACAATACATAATGTTTTATTTATTTTATCAACTTTTCTTCTGACGATGCTGTCTATGTTGAGCGCTCAGTGGATCTGCGTTCGACTACTCCGCCTAGGCTGCACTGTCGAGTGCAGATCCACTGAGCGCAGCGCAAGCTAGCAAGACAGAAGCTAAGCTCGTTGCAACATGGCAACTGCCTTAACGCTACCCGAAAATGAACCTCCCCCACCCTCATTCAGATCTGGCGTTTGGCCAGTGTTGCCAACCTAGCGAGTTTGTCACTATATTTAGCGAGTTTTCACACCCCCTTAGCGACTTTTTTTCTAAAAAGCGACTAGCGACAAATCTGGCGACTTTTTCTGGTGTTATTGGAGACTTATTTATGACGACTTTTTGACGTGAAAGCGGGTATCGCTTTTACTCTCAACAAGCAGCGGGTGCTGCCGTGGGCACCTCGCCCGTTCCAAAGCGCTCACGGGCGGAGGATAGTCCTCCCCCAGCTGCTATCAGGGCAGAAGATGTTCACACCTATTCGTCCAAACTGCAAATGAATCGCGCATGAGCGAAGCTGCTGCTCCTGCACTGATTGTAACGCAGTCAGTTCTTCTTTTACTGTTATGCTGTTTTGTGGATCACAAGGTTTAAAACTACTTATAAACACATACACACACACACAAAGTAACTCCACCAGAGTGCCTATTTCGGGTCACAAAGGAGCAGGGTTGGAATTGTGACATTTAAAAAAACAATAATTGCTAAAATAAATGTAATCTGTAGTTCTAAATAAATTCTAAATGCATTTAGGACGTTTCTCTCTCCAACAACGTAGGTTACAATTATATTAGCATGACCAATTATGCAAATGATGACGTCATTTAGCAACTTCTAGTGACTTTTAATAGCGATTTTCCTTACTGAGGAGTTGGCAACACTGTTTGGAACTATCTTGGTTTTTATGTGAAGTATGACCCTGAAGGTAAGCGCGTCATGGACAAAAGTAAAACAGTATGTTGGATGTGCCACGCAATGCTCAATTGGTGGGAACTAGTGCGCTAGCGCAGTTAGCTTGTTAACGTGTTGACGCCGTCCAGCCCCACGCACGGGGCGATCCGCGGTAACTCGTTAACGGAGATTTGCGGCGTTATGGCGTTAATGTCATTTTAACGAGATTAACGCTGACAGCACTAGCGGGAACACAACGAATATGACTGCACATTTACACCGACATCATCCTAGTGCAAAGACAAGTGGAAGCAGACAAAAACAACAAGCACGCATGCTACAAACTTTACCCGAGTCATTTAGACAGCCATTAGCACATGATTCTTCTTGTTTAATGTGCTGCTGAGAATATAGCCCAGAAGAAGCGTATAGTATAGCTTTTATTTTGGAAAGAGCCATTCCTCTGTAATAAACTCTCTTTTCCAAAGATGAGTGCTTTCTCGATCAGATATATATATATATATATATATATATATATATATATATATATTTTTTTTTTTTTTTTTTTATTTTTTTGTTGTTGTTTCAGCAACATTAAATTTAAAAACTGTACTTTTGAGTTAAAATATATATTTATAATTTTAATAAATGATAAATTAAAAAGGCATGCACATTTTTTTGTATCGAAAAAATATCGAACCGTGACACCAAAGTATCGAACCGAACCGTGAATTTTGTGTATCGTTGCACCCCTAGTTTGTATGTATGTATCAGTTTGCTAGTGTAATCAAGGTCAAAACAGGTACAGTTCAAACAGATATCAGGGATTTTGGAAAGCTGTATCCGTCTTTAGATTACAAACAGAATGCTGTCTTAGAGCAGCCACATACGGTCTCTAAGAGCAAGTGGATAATCGCTGGAAAACACCCACTGATCGTCTGAGAGGAGCAACTGACCAGCCAACAGGAGCAGCTACTTGTGGGGAAAATACACTTGAAGAACCACATTATGACAATTTACAACAAAATAATCTACAACATGTCTGATTTTCCATTCATTTTTTTATGTTTCATCAGTAAAAGAAATGGTGTGAGAAAACAGCAGCGTTATTAAGTGTTAAGAAAAATTCAACTGCCCACATAGTCTGTCCTTTATTAACATCGATTAGAAAACCTTGGTAAAAGTAACTTTAACAACATTATATTGCACAAGAAAGCAAACTTTAAATGCTTCTGATATTTGTGTAGCCCTAAATCTTGTGCAGTGGAATAACAGATACTTTTTTTTAGCTGTGAATGTTTAGATCTGAGTGTCTTTCTGCAGCTCAATAACACTGGGATTTTAAAGAAACAGCAGAACTGAACATTGTATTTTTGGTGGAACATTACTAGTGGAATATTCCATTCTGACAACTCCCTTGAGCAATGGCACAGTCTGACAGGCATAAAATAGTATTTTTGGCCCAATGAGGGGATTCCCAAAGAACTGTTAGCAAAAAGGTTGATGCATATCGGCATGGTGTGTAATGTGTAATTAAAATGTTTTAGGAATCTACAAAAACAGAGGACAGAATAAGAAGAAGTGCCAAGGCCTAAAAAAATATCTACAGCGGATGAATAGTATCTGAAAGACGGGTCCTTAAGAAATGGAGAGAACAAAATCAGCAGTGACCTGACACGAGACCTGAGAGATGCACATAGTCTACTGAAGAGCCATCGATCAGTCATTGCCTGATCTCTCCAAAAACCAGACTTCAATATTATTGAGAAAGAGCAGAACAAAAGGAAAAGAAGAGCCTTGGATGTCCTTCAAGAACTATTAATGAAGACCAGCTAAAGAAATTAACAGAAAGCTTGCCTAGGGTAGTTCAGGCTGTGTTGACTAAAGGTGTTCATACCAAATATTGACTCTCAAGTTCAATAGAATTGTGCAAACTATGTTTTGCTTTATGTACAGTATTTCCATGCATGTTAGCAGTTTTGACTAAATTGCTGCTCCTGCTTTCCCATTTTACTTAAAAAATATAAAGAAGTGAGGGTTTGGTTGAGACTTTTGCAAAGTACTATATAAATAACTTATATTACTAATACTGATCAATTGATATCTGAGTAGAAGCTTACTGGTAGCTGGTATTTAAGTTCCCAAACCAGGCATACAGCACCTCTCAGTAGGTCACAAGATAAGTCTGACGTAATATGAGATGAATAATGAGGAGAGTAAAACAGTTTCTTTAAGAATAATTTGTTAAATTACAGTTATTTACTTGGATCAGTGTCAGATAAGTAAGCAACAGTCCTTTTTGGGTTATACCCAGTGTTGGTCAAGTTACTTGAAAAAAGTAAAAACACGATTTAGAACCTGAATAGGTGATAAAGCGATAGATCTTTCAGCCCTACTTTTTACTTCCCTACTTTTCTACTTTTTCTGCATAATCCATCATACAAAATGTAATCAAATGGAAAAGTCTCTTTTTAAAACTTGTTTTATTAGTTTTAATCTTTTAACTTTATGCATCAAGCAAAAATTTCATTATATGCAACATTCTCTGACTGGAAGAAATTTGTTTAATATTTAAACCTATTTTCTGCACATTCCAGCACATAAAATTAAATATTTTTTTGTGTTTACACTCAGTCTTTCAAATAAATGCAAGTGAAACACAGCAGAAAATAAATAAAATCAGACTCAGTGGTCCTGTTGCTCTATTTTCACCTGTAAAGCAGGAGTGGGGTAGGCGGAGGTTTGCCCATGCTCTCTCTGCACTGATATATTATCCATTGTTGATCTGCACACAGCTGTTGCCACGAACGTCGCACTCGCTTAAATTAGTTGGTAAGCCATTGTATTGTATTTAAAAGTCACATCATGTGTATAAGCTAACTCACAATTGTGCTGAATTACTTTGACTGCTGCAAACACCAATGAGATATCCAAAAATGTCGCACAGGCTGGGTGGGCAGAAAGTCAATAACATTTTACTGAAACGCAACAAACAGGTTTTAAAGTAACTTAAAGTCTCTAATGAGCTAATGTTTAAAGTATATGTTCTGGATAATTCTAGCCATGGTCACGTGGCTTTTTGACACAGCAGCCATTTTGACACAACACAGTAAAACAGGTGTTCTAAGGGACGTTAATTAAGCCTCTCAACATCATTAGAGTAGACTATCCGGTTCTCTAAGCAAACGTCCCACTTCGTATTTGTAAGCTGGCTCTGGGTGGTTGCTGACATACTTGAAGGCAGTAGCTGCACAATATGACTTTTATTAGGATGCTGCATTTACCAAACAGGAAGAAATTCTGTTCTGTGGTGTTTACGGCCGCACGTTTGTGCAGCAGCTGCCCACCAGCTGCGTGCAAAAACCCGGTGGTTTACTTTGATATTGCTGCTGACAACGAACCGCTTGGCAGAATTAGCTTTGAGGTGAGTAGGTTTTAAAAAAAACAAAAACAAACAACTTTTACTTTGAAAATATGCGTTAAATCGCTGTGAGCCGTTTTCTTTTTATTTTGCAGCTTAATGCAGACGTAGTGCCAAAAACAGCAGGTAACTACTGTTTTCATCATTTGTTTATTTGTTTTAATCACAAATCACAGCAAAATGTCAAGAAAGTGCTGTTATCAGAGCTGAGGAATGGATGAGATGTTTTGTTTTGTTGGCTTCATAATTGTTTGGTCTATAAAGCAGCTGTCACAAATCCATTCAGGAGGACCTAAACTAACAGTAACAAGTCACTGTTCAAACATGAAAAATTACCGAAAGCTTTGTGTGTGTGTTTCGTCACCCGTGAGAAGGAAAAAATTTACATTTAGTCTATCCTGCAGAAAACTTCCGAGCGCTCTGTACAGGAGAACATGGCTTTGGCTACAAGGGATCCGTTTTCTTCAGGGTGATCCCTCAGTTTATATGTCAGGTAGGTTTGTTTTGTTTTGGGGGTAATTAATTTTCCCCCAATGGACTGTTGTGATATTACTACAGTGATGCGTTTTGTTTTTTAGGGTGGAGATATTATTTATAACTTTGGAGGTGGTGATAAGTCTATCTATGGAAAGAATTTTCCCGATGAGAACTTCAAGCTGAAGCACACTGGACCAGGTAATTATCCCCCTCTGTACACTGTTGCAAGTGAAAATGAAAACAATGCAGTGCTACTTATTGGTTTTCAGAAATTTCCAACTCTATAGTGCAAGTCACTTTGTCAGATTCAAATTTAACTTGGGCCATTTGTGTGCTTTTCTCACTCAAATACTTGAAAGCATATCAATATATAAGAAATGTCCATAACTTGAAGTCAAACAGATGGAGCCAACAGATTATGTGCATTTTCATTTAAATTGTAGGAATGTCCTGAGTTTCTTGCACATTTTTTTTTGTAAGGATTACACACGTTAGTCCTTCACTGTAACATTCACTGTCAATCTTTTTTCTTTTTTTAAACCAGTTTGCATTTTGAAAACTATTCACATAATATTGTTCCATTCTTCGTTTTTGTCTTGAGATTTCAAGGTCATGTTTATTTTTGTTTGTCACGCTTCAATTTACCTCATTGCTCAAAGTTACTGCCTAGTGAAATCTATAAAGAAGCCTTGTCTGCACAAGAAATTTTGCTCATATCACTCTGGGAGGTCCCCACAAAGTTTGCCACCAGATGGCAACATTTTAACACTTTTTTCTAACATTGATACTTGAGTGTGCTAAATAATATAAGCTGTTGTGTGCACCTGTGCCACAAGTGGCAATACTTAGTATATTCAAGGGTACTTATTTTAATCTAACTGGATATGAGTTTGTTAAATTTTAAGGTATCCTGTCCATGGCCAATGCTGGACCGAACACCAATGGATCCCAGTTCTTTATCTGCACCACTAAAACAGATTGGTACGTACTGACAAACGGAAACATATTTATAACAGCTGATACCAATGAAGCTGTGTATTTCATCCAAACTGGCTTTAATTCATATCACAGTGATATTCAGTAATGGCTTGAAGCCATTGATTGTAAGCAGTTTCTTTTTCTTTTAGGTTGGATGGCAAGTATGTTGTCTTTGGAAAAGTAAAGGAGGGAATGGATGTGGTCAAGAAAATGGAGTCTTTTGGTTCCAAGATTGGGTACACTTCAAAGAAGATCACGATCACGGACTGTGGAGAGCTCAAGTAGATTTAATGTGGATATGGTCATTGTGTAATTTCATTTCCTGGTGAATTTCAATAAAATGACCAAAGTGAAAGAGGTTGGCCTAGAGTGCTTCCTCTTTTGCTGAGTGTAGATAAATGTCACAAGTACTGTGAAAAGATTGGGGTAAAATGTAATTTTTGCCAGTGAGAGACTACTTCCAGCTGCAAATTAAAATTTGCATGGGCATAAAACTGAATGCACCCACAGTCCAATCAGTTTGTGAGGTGTTCAGCTGCATGGTCCTCAGTTTGAGAACAGGGTGGGATGCACATTCTGGGGGGGTTTACATCAGGAATGGGCATCTGGTGTTTAAAAAAAGTCTGCCATATCAGATATTGGCACTATGGCATCAACTGAGAGAAGCTTTTTATCTCTCTGCCTATAAAATGACCAGCTTTATCACGCTTTTGTACTTGGTAATATTCTGGTGGCTGCTCTTTGAAATTGAGAAAAAAAAAAGAGAGCAAGAGAGAGACTGTGCATCTGCCCTATTCCACAGCCCCGCATTGCTGCAGTTTGCAAAACAATCTATAAACCAAAATCTAGCTTTTACAAACTCACTGTCCAAAGCTTTGCTGCTCCCCAGCTCTACTGCTGATATCGTCGAATATTTGCAGGTTTGCAGTTTCATGCACATGGCCAGAGGTCCGTGAATTAGCTAAAGACCTCTACTCTGACATTTGTGTGTATATTCTGCTTATAGCATGATGCATGTATAACATTTGGTTACATTACAGTGACCGCAACACACTCATTTCAAACAGTTTATTTTTTATGATTGGGGTTTTAATAATAAAATAGACTTTTTATCCTGGTGATGGGTGGGGATTGTTTATGGTAAGGCATTATACAAAAAAAATAAAATAATTGACATGCAAAACTGATTAAATACTGTCTGCTTCACTTTACGAACTGATTGTCTCCAGTTTCAAATTTTAAAGTTTCACGTGGTGTAGATGTTTTAGATTTTGAATTTTCAAAACGTTGTTTTTGATTGGGCTGTAGCAATAGCGCATCTTGAATGATTCATTTTCATTTTAGACGAACTCGATATGGTGATCAGATGAACCATACAGACTACACAAACCTTTCTTTTACGTATGACATTAATGAAATGAGCAGCACGCAGCATAACACTACTACAACAACAATAATAATAATTTGAGTGCATAAAAAATCTCGCGTAATCTCGCGAGAAACGTAGCAGAGCTTCCGGTTGCGTAGTCAGCTTCCTCCTCTCGCGCATGTAAGCGTGATTGTAGGTCACTGTTGGTCCACCTGCGTTGAGTTATTGCATCACAGTGAGTTTATAAAGATGTTGCTTCTGTCAAACAGGATAAAGTTTTGCTCTTTAGCGTTTACAGCCGCGCGTCTGTACAGCAGCGGCCCAGCGGCAGCGAACAAAAACCCGCTGGTGTACTTTGACATTGCCGCTGACAAAGAGCCTCTTGGCAGAGTTACCTTCGAGGTGAGTAGGTTAAAAATAAGTGTTGACACTGCTTGTATTAGTTTGCATGTTAATGTTTCAGTTTGCATGTCCTCACACAGTCGCTGATTTACTCTCCCCAGATTTAAAATTTTTTAAAAAATACCTTCTGGCTGCTTCTTTTTCTTTTGCAGCTCAACGCAGAAGTCGTGCCCAAAACTGCAGGTATCTGATGTTCTCTTCCTCCTTAAACACCAAACAAGCTGGAACGAGTATCTGATCTACTCAGACTTAAAGAAAAGATGATGGTGTACCTGAACTTGACTAAGTTTAACTTGACACACCAAATGTGTGTGTGAATCGACAGGTTGTCACTTTGATTATGTTAGAACAGTTTTTTTTTGACTTTCTGCCAAAGCTTGCCTATTTGGTTTGTAAATCAGAAGAAACATTCTAAGAGAATAACAATGTGTTGTCACAACAGAAGATAAGATTGTTATTCACTTTTTTTATGTTAAACCTGAAAAACAGGAGATTGCCACATTTAAACTAGAACCACAAATTTAAAAGGTGAGACTCATGATCATCAAAAAGGCTGCAAATTTTATTCTGTTCTGTTGATAACTGAGCAGTTTGTGGCATTCTTACACTGTTACAGGCACACTTTTTCATCTTTTAGGAAGATTTCATCAGAAATATTTCAGGGTTGCTAATAAATATCGAAAAGTCTAAGAAAAAATAACTCTGCTGTTTAGGATTTTGCTTGTGCTTTATTCTAACGTAACTGTTCTGTCTACTGTGTGGATTCAAACATAAGAAGGCAGACACTGACATGAAGGCTCTCTTGCAGAAAACTTCCGAGCGCTGTGCACAGGAGAGCATGGCTTTGGTTATAAGGGTTCAATTTTCCACAGAGTGATCCCTCAGTTCATGTGCCAGGTAGGCTTTAATGTTTCTCTCCTTTTGTTTTCCTGTGTCCTATGAGGGTCCAATTACAGTCACACGTTTTGTGTTTTCAGGGTGGAGACTTCACGAACCACAACGGAACTGGAGGAAAATCGATCTACGGAAGGACGTTTCCCGACGAGAACTTCCAACTGAAGCACACTGGGCCAGGCAAGTATTTACATCATTTCAGTTTTTCCTTGGGAACCAAAAGGACGATGGGGTTGTACAAAACCAAATACACTCTTACAGGTTATAATACATTGCATCTAATATAATCCATACACAGCACAATGTGATATACTACACATGATGGTACAATCTCAGGCTACAGTGTTTGTGACTGGTGTTTTGCTGGTAGTAAATGGAGTAAATTGTAATTTTCCAGAGCAAAAATGAGATGGGCCATGACCAGATTAAATATGCATGCATCTCAAGTTAAATTTAGCAATTCTGTAAATATTATGGGTACTGTGATTGTTATTTTTTTATTTTTTTGTATCAATTTACTGGAAAATTACCCAATGCTGTCCTCCATTGTAATGTGGGATAGTCACATTTGTCTTCTGCCACCAGGTGGCAACATTTTAAATGGTGGATTTTCTGACGGTGATATTTGAGTGTGCTATATAATCAGTGTTGGGAAGGTTACTTTTAAAATGTATTCCAATACAGAATACATGCCCCAAAATGTATTCTGTAACGTATTCCGTTACGTTACTCAATGAGAGTAACGTATTCTGAATACTTTGGATTACTTAATATATTATCGTGCTTTTTACAACAACGTGAATGTACTATTGCTGTGTGATTTATTACTATTACTGAAGGTCCGCGACTCCGAACTGTAGTAAAGGGACCTCTGACTAATACGGCGGGGTCCCTGTCGGGCTCATAGCCGAAAAATAGCTTTACTTTGTTGTGTGGGTCAACTTTTCTTGCGAGAGACAAAGAGAGGCGTTGAAAGGCTGCTCCAGCGGAACTTATTGTTTTCGGAGGAAAACACGAACACGGTGCACAGTCGAGTCTTAATAGCTTACTTACAACTGGGCTCGTCAGGCACTCTTATTGGCTGCAGTGGTTATTATTATATTTACATGTTTCCAGCTCCCGTTTTTCCTCGACGGCAACTCGTACCTTTCCACTCCCCTTTTTCTCCCTCCTCACGCTCACAGACACATAACGTGTATGGCAGTCCTTCTCCCTGCAACACGGACTATACTGCCCATGATGCTACATTCTTTAGAGCTATGCTTGTAGCATTCTGCCTGTTAGCTTAGCACAACAACAACAAAAAGGTGCTCTCTCTCACCCAGGAAACACACAGTCGCAGAAAGAGAGAGAGAGCGTCGCCCTGTAACCATGGCAACCGTAACGCTGCTGCCTGGAACGAAAGAACGTAGCTGTCAAACAAAACCCAAACAGTCCTGACCCGCGACAAAATGAAACAGGAAAAAACCGCAGTGTAATCCATTTATTTCAACAAAGTAACTGTATTCTGAATACCACCTTTTTAAACGGTAACTGTAACGGAATACAGTTACTCATATTTTGTATTCTAAATACGTAACGGCGGTACATGTATTCCGTTACTCCCCAACACTGTATATAATATAATATGTTGTGTAGATGTGTGGCTTAAGTGAAAATACGTACTTTAATGAATGAATTTGTTCAATTGTAAGGTATCTTGTCTATGGCCAATGCTGGACCAAACACCAATGGATCCCAGTTCTTCATCTGCACAGCTAAAACACAATGGTACGTACTGATAAACATAAAATGTAGGAGATGAAGCTAGTGAAGTTCTTCTTCATCAGTCTGTGCCTCCACCTAATAAAATGTGAGTCGATCAGACTCCTTAGGTGCTTCATGGATCATGTCATTATCCAGGGCAGCTATATTAAAATAAGCGTCTTCTTCATTTAGGCTGGATGGCAAGCATGTTGTCTTTGGCAGCGTGAAGGAGGGAATGGATGTAGTCAAGAGAGCGGAGTCTTACGGTTCACGGACTGGGCGAACCTCCAAGAAGATCACTATCACAGACTGTGGACAGCTCGACTAGACTCCGTGTGGACGTGTCCGTAGTCTCATCTCCTGCTGTAATTTCAATAAATGCAAGCGTGAAAGAGGGTCTTTCTTCAGTCAGCGAACAGGGTGCTATCTCTGTTTGCTGACAGATCATTTCAGAACATTTTTTGTTTAGGTTTTTGTGTTTATATGCTGTATTACTCAAGTAATGGCCAACACACGTGTTTGCTTTAAATGTGAACTTGATGGATCAAAAATAATGAATGACCCTAATATGTGACAAAGCTTGTGAATTTAGCAATATAAACTTGAACTAATTTTGCAAAAAAGGGGCATACATTTGTAAAAACAAAACCCTTTTCTAAACATGTGATTTTTAACAAAGGTGTAAAAATTTAAAATTTCCTTAAAAATGAAATTTTGCACGTCAGCAAACTGGCTGAAATAAAACTTATTTCAGTAGTGCCTACATTTTATTGGAGATGTTGGGAAAATATTCTTTCTGAACTATCCTGAGGAGAAGTTCAGAAGCAGGTACAATTTGTATATGTAAAAAAAAAAAAAAATACAATGAGGTACAAAGAGAGGAGCTATGGTATTGTATGAAGAAAAAAAAGAGTGGCAGAAAGTGTATGTGGGCAACAAAATGACTGAGATGTGATAGGAATGACATGAGTTTAACGTGAGGTTAGGATTCACTTCACTCTACATTGATCTCTTGTATATAGTGTAATGGACAGGCTGACAGATGTTCACAGAATGTGGAAATTTAGAGTTGTTAGGCAGGAGGAAAAGAGGAAGAACACACAGGCTTGGTGTGACAAAAGAGGATGCGATGGATGGATGGAGGCAGATCATTTTATTTTTTTTAATTATAAGATTACCTGTGATTGTATTTGATGATACTGAAGCCATATATCAGTAAGTTATTCTCTGTAGTCCCCCCTCATGATATGATGTGCTTACATCCTTACTTGAGATGTAGAGATGAGATCAGAAACCGATCACGTTTAAATCAATTTTAATGCAAATATTTCAATAGAGAAGCATCCATCTCATGGGTTATACAAATGAAGGCACATTAAATTTAACACAGTTTACAAGTTAAAGGGTATTTCTGTTCCATACTCATTTATTAGCAAGTCCAGTGAAAAATACCCTGAAAAGCACCACTCACATGCAACCCTTCACTTATCACCGTTTGTTACATTCACTTTTTTTTACTGTCACATGTTATATACTACATTATGACCATAAGCACTTTGGCGAGTCTTTTAGCACTGGGTGCCAAAATACAGTTGCTGTAAGTTACTATTAGAAAAATTTCTACACTGCATATTTAAAACTTTGGAGCCACAAACTACCTGACGAGTGTTTTCCCCATAAACTGTAGCACGTAGTATAAAAGAACTTAATGTTAGTTGACTAATATATTCCTTCACAAAGAGTAATATTCAACAAAATAGTATGGCTTAAAACATA